CTTGATAAGATTTGATTTTAAAATCTTTGGTTAATCTTGCATTGCGATAATCCCCTCGTTTGTTGAGCTAGCCTTCATATCAAGTTACGTTTTGCTCGTATTTTGGAGCAGCACCGTAACTTATACAGCTTTCAAGAGGACAAGTTTATAATCTTACTTATGGGATATAACCCGGCAACTATTATTCCATTCAGAATACAAAATAATATCTCTCATAGTGATTAACAAGTTGGTCCCTATTAATCATTTTTTTTATTATAGTGGAAACTCCCTCATTATGGTACTGGTTCGTCAGGATGCCGTTGCAGGTTGGCGAACTTTAATGGGCAGCACTGATCCTGATAAGGCGGCCGAAGAGGACCCTGAATGGTAAGTACACAGATTTAAATGGAATTTTGGCATGGCAAGAATACGAAAGGATCGCTAATTATACTTATTTAATCGAAGGTATGAAGACCAATATGGTGTGCCTTCTAGTATTGTCACGGTCTCTTTTCGTTGCATATAAGTTGCTTGATCTTGTCTCCGCAACTTGATCGTATTGTAAGGAAGATCCAGATCAATGTGACTTGTACGAAGTTCATATTATGCGTGATAATTTACTGTCGGACCTCAGACTTGTTACTTTCCCAGACGTTTTTCTGGCATCGTCAGTGAGCCGTACCATTCTTAGTACAACACTACACTCGCCAAAAGAGACAAGTGAAGTCGATCCTTTGACCAATTGTCTACTAAACAATTGTGGTATCTCTCCTTCAACCCTGTGGGCTATTTACCAATACTATATCCTCGTATCACCCTTTAATTATTACAATTCCTTACTTGCTTATTTAAGCCTGGTTCTGGTATACCTTTTGGCCCTAGTCTAAAACAGGTAGAACCACAACATTTGTAGGTTGACATACAAGAGATTAGGGCATAGTAAGTGACAAACTTGGCAGTATGGATAGAAGCACGATAGATGCGGCAGGGACTAGAGATAGTTGGCTAATACTAGACCTATTTGATCATATACGTGTTGCGTAGAGTAAAGGATTGACCATGAAAATTACCCGATTCACATGTCGAACAGTGATAAGAGATTCTATAGCCTCAAGTTAGTCTCCCATCCAGGACTTTGGGGTCCTGCTCAGTGAGGTTATCAAAGGCTTGATGCAGAGTGCGGGAAATAACGCGTCGAGTAGCACAGATATAGTGACATTGGTCAAATGAAGTCCCTGAACCAAGGAGATATGAGGCGGATCCTACGGGGCAAGGGGCAAGAGGGAGAATCTGATAGAACCAATGAAGGCCGGTCCTTTCTTATATCACATTTACATCGGGAATGTCGATGAATAAACTTATCTTTTGTCATTACAATCGAGTACCTTACTTATATTCATATTAAGTATGTTTCGATACTAATGATGATTATAATAATTTCAGAACCTACTTACTAGGAATCTGAGAATGTACGTCTCATGACCTTATCTTGCCTGTTACTTTTTTATTTATGAAGTCTTACTGATATGGGACATGCTTGTGGTGAGTTGTGGGAATATTATCCGTTGTTATGAGGAAGGCTCACAACCAAACATCCTTAAAAGCCGGTTGAAAAAATTGAGCAATAAATAAAAATTGCCGCTTTAAGCATTCAAGTCTACAAGATCCTCATAGGCGGGCCAAGATTTTAGCTATAATGGTAAGTAATTATGATGTTAGTTCATTGTTGTAATGGGGAAAGTATATGGCAAAAGGCCCCTTCGAAAGATATAAGATAAAATTACATATATATATATATATATTTGTAGTTTTCTTTGACCCGGAGATAATTAAAGCCTCATACTTAAATTTATTCCGTTCCGGCATGCCTGCCAATAAATTCGAAGAAATTATTGGTGTTTTTGCTAGGCAGTTGAATACATTAATTATGCTTATACTCACAGTACTGTATCAATCGTTAAATTTTTCCTTCAGCCTCCGAGCTATTTATGGCCGCGACATGCTCGCGAATGGGCTCCATGGCAGCTCTAATGAAGAGAGTGCTCAAAAAGCAATCAGAGCGATCTTCGGCAAGGACTTTGCTCCAGGTGGGTATAAGCCGAATGTTCTCACGAATTTGCTAATTTACACTTTTTATTACCTTACACGATTTGATTTGGGAATTAAGCCATGTACAAAGGTTTACAGGCCAACATATACACAGTAGAATATTTTGTCACCCTGCATGTGTCAACTCATTTGTAAATAAAAGAGTACTTCGATAAATCATATCCAAAATTTAAGAAATTGGGTCCCAACTATTCATAATACAGTGGATACCCTAGAATAATTTATTCTTTCATGTCACAAGATGTTTGAATTATAAGGAATTCTATATCAAGAAACGATATTCCTGCTTTTATATGAGCCATCTGGGATTTATTAGGGCGAAAGGTTCTCTATGACAGTCTTAATCTCGAACTGATATAATTAAATAATCAATGGTTTTGCCCCACTCATCTTGAGCAAAGATAGGTAGCACTACTTTGTTTAAGCACACTTCACATATACTGCTAACTTCCTGTTAAGATTTCCACTATACTATTTGGAAAACATATACTAAACTATTCGGGAACTCACTTTGGTATTCATTTGAAATGTGCATCGAGAGGTTCAGGAATTTGTTTTCAGCAGAAATTGAAAAAATAGTCCTTATTTAAGTCTTATGAATCTGTAGGCATACTTCTACCTTGAAATCGTCATATTCATCAGAACACTGTCCCTCATCCTTCATTTATGATAGATACGAAAGCAGCCTTCTGTCGCTCGACAGACGCCTGTAGAGCAAGTCAATATCTGAACATAATTTAACAATAAATTTGACTATTTCAGAACATTATCTTTCTTTGAAAGATTTTGACACGAAGAGAAAAGTTGAATTTTCCTACAATTATATGAATGGATCTTCGCTTACATTACCGTTGAATTTCACATAGCATTGCTTACCAAAAGGTATTTTCATCCAAGTTGGACTGCAGTTTCGACCGCTCCTGGGTCTAATAAACACCGCCAGTGGTATTCGGACGATGATAGTGCAGCATTTAATCTCGACATGTTAACCACTACGCCACATTGCAACCTTGGGTCACAGGGCAGATGGTATTTCAAGGAGGGCTAGGCATATTCCTATATCATTTTCTGTGGGGGAATTTATCCATGAAGCAAAGTTGTATTTGCCATAGCAATCGAATACAATATATATATATATATATATGATCTACTGGTAATCTCAAAATCTCCCTATAGATGAAAAAATAAGTTAGATTGTCAATTGCTATACCAAATACAACTTTGCTTCATTGACGTTCCCACCACAGAATGCGATATGAGAAAATACCTGGCCTTCTTTGGCATTCACATTTGCCCTGTGACCCCAAAGGGCACACATAGCAATGTGGCTTAATGGTAAAAATGTTTAGATTATACGCTAAAATGTCATGATGCGAGTCCCGTTGGGGGTGTTGATGGGACCTAGGCAATATTAAAAATATAATCTAATCTGGATCAGGAAACGTTTTGTTAAGCAAGGCTATATATCATTTACTGAAAATTTAAGTCCTTCTTATATTATTGTGGAAAAATTTAAGTGACATTCCTTGATCATCTTAAAGAAAGTAGGAGGAACACAGCTCAAATATATGATTTGCCAGAAGTTTCGAAAGGCAACATAGAAATGAAAAAACTAAGGAGGGAAGTATTTAAGTGTAAGTAATCTTGGACCGAGAACTCTGTGCCAACGCGTTAAGAGTGACCTGAATGGCTTGGCTGTAGAGACAATGCCTTGCATATTAAGTACCATCGTCTCTCAGCTTCTGGTAAGGCAGTATCGAATATCTTCTCAGTATTCATACATAACTCATTAAAATATAGTATAATAATATGCCATAATTACAAATCAAATGGTGTAACATACATGAGTCTCTGATCAAACAGCTTGAATGGAACAAAAAACATAGGTGTGTCTATTTGTATTAAATATGTTTAGAAGCAACCAGTGTATAGGAAATAAGAGTTCTATTCACCCAATTTCCAATATGGTGACTATCTTATAACATTATCTGATAGGTCAGGGTCGAATATATTCCTCAAGATAAAAGACTCTGAGAATTCTTATTCAGTTTACTAAGAATTCACAATACAATAAAACTAAACCAAAGATATGAAGATCTAGATGGTGTGGCCTTTGGTATGACCATAGTCGCCTTTCGATGTATAGAAGTGAGCTATATTCGTTTTCGCAAATGAGTCCTGTTGTAGGAGAGACTTAGTTGGATGCACATTGTATGAAGTCATGTGCTATAGTAGATATAAAAAATTCCAGCGTCAAACCGTGGACTGGGTAGATTACCAGAGGTTTCGCTGGCTTTGTATTCTGCATCATCATTGATTCTTGCTATTCTCAGCACCAAGCTACAACTCGTCAAAGAGACAAGTGAATAAGATACCTTGATCAACTTTCTGCCGAAACAGGTATGCTA